CAACTTAAATGTTGACTTAATACCCAAGTCCTTTGGGTCCTTTGTGCCCAGCGCACACAGCAGGCCTCCCACCAAGGCGGGACTTGTGTTAAGGTGATGGATGATACAACTCAAGATCTATCAAAGCATTGAATTCTCACCATTGAAGCGGTTGGAATTCTGTAGTTGTTGTCTCCTTCTTTCCATTCTCTTTCATGTCAGTGTCACTCCTTTTTCTCTTAGTTCCACCAGATGAATTTCCCCTGTGACCTTCTGTTCAACAACTCACAGCCCACATGTTGTACATACGATGTACATATATAGATAAATAGTCATGCTTCAGAGCCAGAAGATGAAAAAAAGACAACATCTTTTCTTTTCTTTTGTGCCTGAGTCCTGGAATCTCTACCAGATACAACTCCCTGTAGCATGTGTGCTTTTCCACCAGGCAAGCTGGCAGACTCACATAGCCCTTAGACCATTTTTTTTTTCTTCTCCCTCAGAGTCAGAGCCTTTTCCTCATGGTTTTCCATCACCCAATCTGTTCCTCAGCAAACAATCCCAGTTTCATCACTCTGTCACCCTTTTTTCTTATGCTTGTTTTCTTGTTGGTCAATGATATGCACTTCTGTTTTTTCCCCCCAATAATTTCACTCATCCCTGCAAACAAAGGAAGGCAAATCAAATTTGATGTCTAAGCTCAATTTTTTTTGGTTGTGTTGTTTTTTTTGTTATTCAATTAACTGTGAGAAATAACGTGGCAGAGAAAAGAAAATTGATCTGCATGTTGTATAGAAAATGAGATGGAGAGGTGTGCCATGTGGGGTTTACTGTTATTGGGATGAGAAGCAAGTGAGATTTCTGTTACAACATTTGTCCCACAAATTCTTTAAACCAAATTGCCTTCAAATGATGATTGCCCCTTCGTGAAAAGCTATGTGTTTTTTTTTAGTTCTCAGGGTATCTGGAGTGGCTGGGTTGTGCAGAGTAGATTGGGGGTGTGAGTGTGAGTAGATGATGAGAAGACCAAGTTCCATTTTTGTTCAACTGCTGTGAGGGTTTTTTTTTTGCCTCGCTTTCCCTTTGAACTCAAACATTTTGACTCTCGACCACTTCACCTTCCCCAAAAAAAAACAACCAGAAAAACTCATTCAAGAAACGATGTCGACACCCCTACTACGAAGACTAGCACAATACCAACAACAACAGCAGCAACAACAACAGCAGCAGCAAGAACAAGAACCGAATAATAATGCTGGCCTGATGAGGCGGACGCAGTCGATCAAACGACCACTACCACCAGTCCCACCCACCACTACTACCCACACCAACAGCCAACAACCACAACAACAGCCCCCACTAACAGCGATCTCGATAAACAAGCTCAACAGCCAAGAGAACAGAACAGCAGATCAAGGCCCTTCACGCACCAAACCACTCCCTCAACCCCCGGCACCATCAAGACCTATTATCCCTCCCGTTCATGGCAGACCGACCGAGCTCAGTAATCCGAACTATCATCCCTACCATCAACAACCTCACACCCACAATCGATTCATTCCTCACCATCACCATCACCACCACCAGCAGCACCAGCAGCAGCAGCAACAGACTGCTTCCTTTCATCAACTTCCGCCTTTTCAGCCTCCCGGCAGCTTCCAGCCTCCCTCTAACTTCCATTCTCAGCCTCATCCCCAACCCTCGTCTTCCGATCATCATCACTCATTTTCGCATTATGAAGAGCATCGCGTAGTTGACGAGCAAACAATCCATGCAACAGACGAGCGAGGAGACCAACACGATGTCCAGCAGGTTCTTGTCGTCGACTCGGAGCCTCGAGATGATAGTGGACATGAAGCGAGTAACGAGGAAGAGAAGCCTGGGGTGCCAGAACTCGTGGTTCCTCGGATGGTCTCCAACGACGACGACGATCACGAAGACAACGGAGCTTCGCGAGCGGAAGAGTCGGAGGAAGACAGTCTCCCGGGGATCATGGTGACGGAGGAGGAAGGCGTGCCGGGGATCGTGGTCAGTGTGGAGTCTCCTCCCGCACCCAAGGGGACGACGCGTAAGAAGCCGTTTATCGCCGACGAAGGACGACGGACTTCGGGGCCACGAGGCGCGACGGTTGGCGGCCCGCGGACGATCACGCCTGTCCGGAAGGCCGAGCGGGTGGTCTCGACGGAGGCTCGCAGTCGACAACGCTCGGTCCCCCAAATGATCGTCTCCTCCACCGACGAGGATTCTTCTAATCAACATCCTCAGGAACATCATCATCATCAACAGAGTCGCGACGATTGTCCGCCTCGTCAACTCGCCGCCCCAATCGGCCCCCATTCGCTCGCTTGTGCTGGATGCAGACAGCTCATCGCTGGCAGAATCGTCCACGCTCTCGACGCTAAATGGCACCCCGATTGCTTCGTCTGTCAACATTGTAGCCTCGTCCTCGAACATGTGGCGTTCTATGAACACGAAGGAAAGGCGTATTGTGGGGTGGATTACGATGAAGTCAGTGTGTCTTCTTCCCTCGTTTCATTTAACACTGATTTTCCCCAGTCAGCTTGATAAACATTCACTAAATAAAATAATAATTGTCGATCGTGGGGATTCTCTGCAGTTGTTTAGTTTGAAATGTTACCATTGTAACACGTCGATCAACGAGGATTCGTACGTGAGTCTGGACGACCCCAGTCTGAAGGACGGTCCACGGCATTACCACAAGCTGCATCTGTTCTGTTCGGAGTGTGGGGACCCGTTCATCGACCCGAAGAGTCTGGAAGAACAGTCGCGAATCTCGGCTCTTCCCAACACCAATCGAGACCGGATGCCGATGACAGTAGATGAGCCGAAACCGTTCGTGCTCTTCAATGGTTATCCGTACTGCGAGAAATGCGACGTTCGGCTCCATCGGCCTAAATGCTTTACTTGTAAGGCCCCCATCACCGATGACTTCATCAATGCGCTCAATAAACTCTTCCATTCCGACTGCTTCGTGTGCTTCGTAAGTCCTTCTTTCTCCTTCATTATCAACTCTCCTTCCTTCACATTCATCATTCACTCGTTCGGCCCGATCTCTAGGAATGCCACAATCCGTTCTCCAATAACCAGTTCTTTTTGGTCCCCTACGCCGACCTCGATCCTTCCGTGGACCCCAAATCTAAACGCGGAGCGCAACAAGTCCCGATCTGTCTCAACTGTTACTCGTAACTTCTTTGTACCACCATCCTTTCTTTTTTTGTTTATCTTCATGTTGTGGTCGTTTGATTCTGGTTGACAATGGAAGAATTGTTGTGTCGTCTTTTTTTTATCTCGTTCATGAAGTTGCTGTGCTTTGATATTTGTCCTGATGAATCCCCCTCCTTCTCTTCTCTTTTCGTATTGTATTACTGGTTCTCTCTTAATCAACAAAACAAACAAATGATGGTTATTCAAGGAAAACCAGACTCCAGAGTCGCACCAGAGAAAGTGGAGGTCTACCGTCTTCCTGATGACAAGTCTTGAAAGTAAAACTCACTCCACAAATCAACATGATCCAAAAAAAAAAAATAAACATCCCTAATCTGGGCTCTTTTTTTTGGAGAGTTGCTGGCCATTTCTGGTAGCAATAGGTGCAAGCCAGATTTATAGCCTCAGTAGGATGGGGGACGTGTTGGGTTGTGTGTTTTGGGCAAAAAATCTTGTCTCTCTCTCAGGGGCCCTTTCTTGAAGTTACACTTTCGGTTGAGAAAGTGTGGGAAGAAAAAGTGACGATGTGAATGGTTTATTGGGAAATTCGCATGCTGCTTCTTCGCGACTTCACATGCACACCCCACAAAAACATGAGGAGTTCAAAACAAATGCGTTGTAGGGGAGTCGAACCCCTGACGAGGCCACTCGCACAATGGCAAGGCCCCAGTTTACCGCTAGCCTAACAACGCTTACACCACGGACAATTGCATGTCGCTCCCGCGCGGAGCGACATCTGGGGGTTTCATTGGGGGTTTCGTGCGCAGTCACTGCGCCTACTGCCGCAGTCACGCACGCGGATTCGTCAAGGTGACGGTTACATCCGCGGCGACACGCAAATGACTGTGGTGTTACGTCATCGGTGCAGTGTCGGATTTATTCCGACGCGTGGTTCGGCGTGGATCGCGACGCGTCTCCCAAATTCCAGTGATGCGCGTATTATTATTCAACGAGAACAAGATCAAGGCATCAGCAGAAAACGATACTCAAAACTCACACAGTGTTAGTCATGGCACTTCTCTCACAGGACCCCAGCGTCTCGACAACCTATGTCCACACCGAAGGCGCGGTCTCCTTGGCCTATTCTCCAGACGCAAGGTAAGCTTATGATGGCCTTGGTTCCGGTCCCATTTTCAGGCCGTCTATGTATCTAAGCCGATCGATGCTGACCACCCCAGCCCTCTCCGGCTGCTTTTATTAGGTTTCTTTATTCTGGCGGCGCCGATGGAATTCGATGCTTTGATCTTACCCAGGCTGTCGATGCCGCAAGGACTATCGAATATCATAAGGACCCCGTCACGTTTTTGGATTGTTCAGTAAGATAGATGTCTTTCCTTCGTGAATGTTTCTAATTGCTAGTAAACAATCTGCCCTTTTTAGTTCAAACAAGCTGAATTAGTTTGTTTCCTCATAACCCATGAATAGGTCGATTTCCTAGCCTCGTGTTCAGAATCTGGCGAGACAGTCTTGCATGAGCATGCTGCTTCATCAGACCAAACCCCACCATTCAAGTCCCTTATCACCCGGACCTCGCTGCCCACCCGATCCATCAAATTCTCACCCAATCAGAGGAAGCTTGCCGTAGCTTCGGATGAACTATACATCAAGATCGTGGACGTCCAGGATCCGTTGAACTCTAGTCTTTTAACCGGTCACACCAAGTCCATCAAGTCCCTTTCTTGGTCGCCTGATTCGACTCTACTGGTCAGCTCGGGATGCGAGGGCGTCCTAAGGATCTGGAACCTCTCCAAACAAAGTCCATCGGGCGAATTGCCATGTTCGCAAGAAATCGAGAATATCCTCCCGACTGTCTTACCAGAGTCTCATCAGTCAATAGAGGCTGTTTGGCATCCATCGGGCAAATATTTTGTCGCTCCCAGTCGGGAATCTGGACTGGCGATCTTCGCGAAATCTAGCTCCGATCAGACCTGGAAGCGTTCAAGGACCGTCTGTCAACCTGATCAGTCCAAGCAAACCAAACCGATCACTTCTCTCAGGTTTTCGCTGAATGGAAAATATCTCGCCACAGGCTGTCAATATGGGATGATCGTCATTTGGGAGACTCAGACGTGGACCCCTCAGACGAATATTCAACCAGAGAGCGATTGCTCGATCACCGCTATCCAGTGGCGACCTCAGGCCAATTCCATCGTGGCTGCCAATCAACTCGGACAAGTCATCAACTGGCACGACGTCATCCCCTCCACCCAACCTCCTCCGTTCAACCCCCCCTCACTACTAGACCCCACTCACAACGAGCAAGAAGACGAAATCGATCTTCTTGGGGAGGAGGACGTCGAGCCTTTCAATGCAGCAGGCTACGAAAACGAGGATTGGGTGATCGACGATCTTGATACCGGGCGGAACTCTAACAAAACAAATACCGCAAATCAAAAGTCATCCACCTATCAATTTCCCTCCCGGACCCATCATCTCTCCTCTCACTTGTCTACTGTCCATTCTCAAGAAACCTTCCAACCCGGTGCGACTACACTCAAGCATCGCTCACTCGAAACCAAAACCGCACGACGATATCTGGCGTTCAACTTACTGGGTTTAGTCCATGTACTCGAGAAAGAGGACGAGAACATTGTGACGGTCGAGTTCCATGACAAGGGCCGACACAACGGCTACCATTTCACGGACCAGTACCAATTCAATCTAGGCTCGATTGGTAATCTGGGCCTTGCGTTTGCATGCAGCGCGAGTCGATCGAATCCGTCGGTGATCAGATACACGCCCTTCGAGTCCTGGACGACCGGCGGGTTTGTGTTCCGGGGCTCGGAGAAGATAGGGCCTGACGAAGAGGCCAGCTGGCAATTCGAGCTGCCCCCTGGCGAGAGTGCGACCTGCATTGCCTGTGGAGGGTGTGCCAACGAGGACGGGAAGATCGATCGGGACGGCTTGGCGGGATCGGGCACGGTCGCCGTCGGCACTACTCTCGGATACCTCCGACTGTTCACTGGTAGTGGGATCCAGACTTACGTCTGGAACTTGGGCCAACAGATCATCAGCTTGGCATGCAGCCATGAGTTCATCTTCGTCGTCCATAGGCCCTCTATTCTCTCTCAAAGCCATCCACTGAGCTATACCTTGATGGACAGTAGCTCGTTCGAGATCGTCCAGGAAGGCATCATCCCACTCCCGAATATCGGCGTCGTCCTGTCCTGGATTGGATTCAGTCACCCTCACTCAATTCCAGCTTGCTATGATTCCAATGGTGTCCTTTCTTTTCTCGACAAAGCCCGAAGGCCTCGGCAGGGCCGATGGGTTCCTATGCTGGCCACAGCGTCTTTGAAGACTCAGGGACAACTCGATCGAGTTTATTGGCCAGTGGGCGTGTCTGACTCTGAGCTATCCTGTATCATCCTCAAGGTATTTAATTACCTTTTTCCTATACAGAACCTCACTAGTCTGGCGCTCTAATTAACCAGGGGAAGTTGTTATTCTCTTTTTTCTTAGGGAGGTGAAACCCAGCCCAGTATTCCTGCCCCAGTGATCCAGGATGTTCATCTCCAAATGCCCCTCTTGGAGCAAGATTCACCTCAAGGTCAACTGGAAGAAAGGCGCGTCATAAGAAACCGCATCTTCCTTCTATCCAAAAAACAAAAATCTCAATTCCAATATGGAGTGCCAGTTCTGACGGTTGAACATTTCTGTTTTTGTAGTTATCTACGTGGTTCTTTAATCCACCATCACCGAGCCGATCTCGCCAATCCTGAAAACGCAACGCTGCGCTCTGAATTGAGTATCAATCAACTCGAGCTAGAAAAGCAAGTATTGAAGCTGATCGAAAGTTGTTGCAAGACGGAGCCTGAGCCGTCTCTCCAAAAAGCGTTAGACTACTCGACCTATCTGAAGAATATGAACACCTTGGACGCGTCGATGAAGATCAGTAAATTCTTCAATCTGGCGGGCTTGCAGGAACGGATCTCGAAGTTACAGGAGGCCAGGGAGCTTGAGGATGAATTAGCGGACCCGTCTGGGCTGGGCAAGCGGAAGTCGAAGTATGCGCATCTGGAGGACTACGAGATCATGACGGACTCGAGGTCGAGCTCGAAGCGGAAAGCAGGGTCCTCAGCGCTCAGTGTCTTCCAGCAACCATTTGAGGAGCTGCCCTCTGCAATGAGTAGTGCGCGTGCTGGCGGACGGCTGTTCAACCAGGCCGACGTGTTCAAGGCACCCGCCCCCTCCAGGAGGGCCGACCAAGTCGCCGCGCAGGAAGATGAAGATGATGAAGATGAAGAACGGGGCAGAGAGCTCCGCGACCCGCTCGAGCTCAGCTCTACCCTCGAACGTCTCTACCGATGTTACTGCATGCCATGGATCCTGAGGACGAATTAGCCAGTCCTGTCTAGGCAGCGTCAAGCGGACGCCAAAGTTATGCGCATCTGGAGGACTACGAGATCATGACGACTCGAGGTCGAGCTCGAAGCGGAAAGCAGGGTCCTCAGCGCTCAGTGTCTTCCAGCAACCATTTGAGGAGCTGCCCTCTGCAATGAGTAGTGCGCGTGCTGGCGGACGGCTGTTCAACCAGGCCGACGTGTTCAAGGCACCCGCCCCCTCCAGGAGGGCCGACCAAGTCGCCGCGCAGGAAGATGAAGATGATGAAGATGAAGAACGGGGCAGAGAGCTCCGCGACCCGCTCGAGCTCAGCTCTACCCTCGAAGTCTCAACCGATGCTCTCATGCATGATCCTGATGACGACTTGGCCAGTCTGAATAGCAGCGTCAAGCGGCCCAAACTTAGCGAATACAGTCTCAACTCTCAGTCCCAAAGTACTGTTAGGGAATGTAAGTCAAAGCGCTATCAATTCTGTCCGCTTCCACACACACACAATCATTGACACTTTTTTGTGGTTCTTCCTTTTGGGTGACTTGTCCAGCGACGAATCCGTTTGCGAAGAAGAAGCCGGTCCCAACAAAAGGATCGACCATGACTAATGTTGGGGGGAACTTGTTTGGCACCAAGGCCGTCGGCAGAACGCCGCCGACCCCCGAGCTCAAGAAGTCGGGCAAGTTCTTCGACCGGGTGGATGAACGTCATGGGCTCAATGCATCGGCTTCAAAGAAGAAAGATGCCAAGAAACGCAGCGTTAAACAAGCTACTCTCTTGGACTTTGCGACCAAAAAATCCGCGTCTGTCGATGTCGCTTCTTCTGCACCCGATCGACAACAAGACGACCATCAGTGACAACAGCATCTGCATTAACTCCTCTCATACCATTTGTAAAAAATCACTCTTGTTTTTTTTTTTCAGGATCACCTTGTTATGTTCTTCGGGGAGATCGTTGGCTCCCCGTACGTTCGCTAGATCTGGATGAGTTCTGCCGTTAAGGAAGGGGTAATAAGTGTGGACAAGTTGTATTGCTTTTGTGTGTAAAAAAATGACTTGCATTCTTTGGCCCGCTCGCTCGCTCGCTCTTCAAATCATTCTCAGTGTGCATCAGACGGACCTTGGTTGGTTCTGCGTTATAACCAGCTCATGTCATCTATATAGCCTTTTGCAGTTTTTTTTTTGAAGCTGCATGGAGCACTTGAGGGACTGGGGCCACCCCTCTAGATTATCAATCTGGCCTTGATAACTCGCTGGTTGCGGCGATTAATCTGAGTGGAACCAATGAAATTTATGTGCCACTTGAGTCGAGCAACTTCAACTGTCTTTTGTCTGGCTCAACGCAAATGGTTTGAATTGCGAAAGTCAAAAATGTCTTAACTCTAGCTAACCTCTACACACTAACGTTATTCAACTATCACGGTTTCTTTTTATCAATGACTTGAAATGATCCTTGATGGGGGATAAGATACATCCTGTTTGCTTGGAATGGTTTCTTTCAAAAGAGGACTCTCTAAGACTTTATACAGGTTTTGGAATTGTATGAGATTTGAAGATCAAAGAGTGTTACTGATTGACCAAGACCAAGGAGCACACTTTGGGGGGTTTCCAGTACCTTGGGTATCTTTGGAGAAATGAGAGGATGATGAAGAAAGGCCGAGTGAAAAAAGAAGAGATGGATTTTTGAGCACAGAGCTCCAGTTAGAGCTTGTTGGTATCTAAGCAAGTCATCAATCAAGAATGCTTTGTTTTTAACCTTTGAAACAATCTCTGTGTTTGTCTGTTAGAAAGCCTTTCTTCCAAAAGACAGCCCCAAATGAGCCCATTCCAAGGAGTTATAACCTATGAACCGGTGTTTTTTGTAGGTCTGATCAGGCTTTGTGAGTCATGCAGGGAAAATGCAGTTTGCAGGATGGATGTTGTGCTATCAAATTTAGTAAGGATTTGTGGCTATTCATTGTATACTTCACTGTGAAAGGGGTGTTGTATTGGACACAACCCCCGTGGTCAAGTCCAACAGGGGTCTCCCAGACCCATTTTGTATCAGCTGGGGCCACCCATACATGGCAACAAAGGGGCAACACATTGGTGGGCCGGGCCAATAGCGGGGTTCATGATTGAAATTTATAAGCTAAAGTTGTGTGCGTGGATTGTTCAGAAACCCCCAAATCCATCCCACTCATAATTTTTTTAAGATGCAATTGATAAAGGCCTCAAAATTGGCTTTGAAATCTCAAAATTTCCATCACGAACCCCACTAATATAAGATTGGTTGGGGAGACTGATCTTATGTTGGCTGCCTGCAGCTGACCTTAACCCAGTTGTAACCAATATGACCCCCCTGAAAGTGAGCCTTGTGGGGAGGTTTGAAAGAGTTGTGGAAAAGAGATTGAAAAACAAACAAAAGTTGTCAAAGAAAAAAACTTGCATTTCCATAAGTTCTTCCTTGGGAGATATGCAGACATGAACCCAAAGTCAGAAACAGGGTTCTATCAACCCAACTGACCTGAATTGCCTAGCCTATTTGACTGGGAAAAAAAAAAAGAAAAATCTGGCTCAATGTCTGTTTTTTTGTGCTTGAATCATGATTCAGCTTCCCAAAAGAATTGACTCTACTCAGAAATACAACTGGGCTTGTTGTGCTAGTGGTGAGTACTGTTTGGGATTACTTCTCTCATCCAAGAAGGCTGCTTCATCACATACATCACTCAGGTTTTCTTGAACACAATTTCGACTGTTCTACTTGACCAAAGTTTGGAGATTATGGCCAATGGCATACCAAATCCAATCCAAAATTTGGGCTGGATCAGTCCAACCAACAGTTGTAATTCAAGTGACCACTAATTTTGAAAAAGGTATGGTTTAAGAATGCAAAAAATCTCCCTGCACAACTTGAGTTTTTGATTTGTTGAGAAAAGTATATATGTCAATGGAAATAAGTCCTGTAGATACCCTTCAAATTTGATATACTCAATATTACAATTGAGGGCTCTTTTTATAGTGCTTGATGCACTGGTATCTCCGTAATTATCTAAAACTAAATTAAACAGTTAGAATTGATGCTTGCATACCACTATTTTTGCTTCTGTTGAGATTTTGAATACTTGAGATCAGTGATGGTGTAATGACAAGGACATAGTTTGATTATTTATAAGGTCCTATCAAGTTTAAAATTCTTTTAGATTCATATATATTGAATCTGAAGGCTATGGATAACCAATGGAGTTTTTGAGAGAAGTCAAGCTGTTCAAACATCTAACATTAATTTCATAGGCAATGAATTTTTTACATCAGTGAATTTTGGAATTGAAAGCCTCATCAGATTGATTACGTATTGGGTACATCAATCTGCTGGGGAAATGCATTTTTCAGGGTATGCAACAGAATCTTGACCATTAAAATCAAGTTGTATTGTATTCACAAAACAACCAATTAAAACAAAAATGAAATGAGGGAAATTCAAATGGGGCATGTGATGGGTATACTATATTAATCCTATAAATGTATCATCAAAATGAAAAGAGATATTTGTTTTTGAATGATTAAAAAATCCTATTGATAATCCTTTTCCAGCACCATTTCTTTATTTTTTCGAATTGTGGATTTCTGTTGTGCCAAATCGAGTGTTGATTTATCATCCACCTCTGGGTTCCTGTAAGTTGAGAAAAGTTTATCTGTCCATGTGAAATACTGGCCGAAATTGCAATTAAAATACAAATGATGTAAGGTATGGTGCGTTGGACCGTTGATATAATCTTCTAATCTATGGCCCACGATCAATTCTGAATCGTGTATCTTGAAAGAGAAAGCCATGTTTGTATCATGGTCGTCAGTTCCTGAGCACGCATTCCCATTGTTGTTCAAAAAAGCTGCCAAAAATATCGGGTGGGCTGAGAAGAAATATTGGACTAAGATAGCTCACCAGGATGGTCCAAACGGTAACAAAGAGGAAAGCGAAAAGATAAAGAAAGCGATGAAAAGGAAAGATAAATACGAATATATGATAAGGCATTGATTGTAAGAAGCCATCCACGGGGTGAAATGCGTAGGATGCGAATGGAGTTGGTATCACCCATTTGTGATGGGTTTTATGAATGCGTTTATAAAGGACAGGATGATGTTCAATTCTATGGATAATATACTAAGCCGAATTGTTGGGGCCGTCAGAAAAATCTCAGCTGACGGATTTATCACTCGCACAAAGCTAGCAAAACGTGAGGAGAATGACGGTATTCAAGACTCACCACTGTAAAATCGGTAAACACTAGAAACAAGAAGTAACTAAAAATGAAATAGAACCATCCGCCCCCAAAATTATGATGAAAAGTCTTCCGAAGTGCTAATGAGATTCGCTTGACTATGTTATCGAGCATGGGGTATGGAGATAAACGGCTTGTGGGCTGGGTGGCTCTGAGTTGGTGCCAGGAATCGTCGTCTTGGAATTTCTCAGTCAATTTGAAGAAATCGAGTATTGGCTTGAACAATCTGAAGCCAGACACTCCTTTGATATCCGAAACATGAGTGTATACTACTTCGACGGTCAAAAATTAAATGGGATCAGCTCAACCTTCATAAACTATTATTCACAATCAATGATTCCTGAAAAAAAAAGGTTATGTTATGGATGCACGCCTTAGTAGAGTGGAAGGAGAAAGGTATAGTGGGTATTCGAGAGCAGCCAGTCAAAAATAAAAAAGCAGTGACATCTAACCGGGTGGGTTAAGGTTCGCCCGAGGCAACAAGCTGGATCTGTCTGGCTATGATTTTGGCCCGGGTCATGAGAAGTTTCTCTTGCAATGGATATGTCGAGAATCTTGCCAGTCGATCCTCTTCATCAACTAACTGAGCTCTCCGCGGGAATCGGGAGGAGAAACCCCGGATGAATCAACACGCCCATTCGAGCCTAAAGATCCGGTGATCTCCCAACGCTGCCTTCAGAATTTAGAGACTTATTTCTCGAAAGCAAAAATTTGCCTGGGGAAAACGCCGTCAAAAACCAAGGCTGTGTATGTCTGATGAGGAGGGATTATTATACAGATTCAAAGGAAATGGAAAGACGAGGGATATGGTGTATCGCTGGGAGACGCATCAGAAAGTGGCAGAATTCAAAAATTTTCAGGTATCTCCTCAGGTGGTAGGGATCGACTTGGAACCTGATACGCCGAAAACTCAAACCAGAAAAAAAGGCTGGGAATGAAGTTTGTGTAAATAGACTCAAATAGCTTCATAGAACAGAAGAACGCAGACGAAAGTCGGGGTTGATATACATAAGTGCACGCGCAAAAAACATCTCTACAGGGATTTATTCCCCGAGCGGAATCATACCGAAAAACCAGGAAGGTTTGGGCATCCCATTGAGCGGTAAAGTTTTGGGCCGACAGTTGTGAAGTAAGGACTTTATTATGTTGCCCACCCCATGGGATGTCGGTGCTTGATGCAATGCAATAACTATGATTCGATATGGATTGTTCCATAGGCCCCAATGACAGCTCTGTCGCTGATTCTCAAGGTGGCCCATTCCGGGGTGGATTGTAGGATAGGGAGAAAAACTGCAAATTACAGAGCCCGTGTGAGAAAAATTGGAGAATTGCTCACACTTGCTGTGACCACGAACCTGGGCTAAATGAAGAGGTAAGGCCAAAATATCGATCGGTCCAATAGCCTTCAATGCACACAGAATTTCTAACTTGATCTGGTTTTTCAAAAACTTGGGATGCTTTTTGAGCCGGTGGTCGAATATGAAAAAATATGACAATCTAATTAATCAAAGTTCTCGACGACGGAAAAAGTAGCAAGGAGATCAGGTTTTGTCTTTGCTAAGGAAGAAAATGCCCTCGCAGCGGAAAGCTTTCAAAAGGCAGCATCTAAAAAAATAACAAGCAAAAAACTTACGAGCTGAGGAAGAAGTACATGAAAGAAATTCCCATAAAAATGATGACGAAGATTGAAACCGATTGCCGAAAGATGTGATCTCTTCCGAACCTACTTAGGCATCGTTGGTGATGAGCGCCGAAATTAAAGGTCAAGTTAGAATTGACAACCTCTGTAATAGACAATTTTCGATCCGCTTGATACTGGAATGCTTGGGAACCGCAAGTGAAATAGCAATCAAAAACGCTGCTGTATGAAATATTAGCTTGGTTGGGCTGATTTTGAGTTGTTACTGTTGTTATTCGTGGCTTTGAGAAAGATGCTAAGGGCAGGGAAGGATTAGGTCTTTTCAAGTCATTAAGTTGGATTGGGAAGATTCTCGACCAGCAACAATCCAATATAAGCTGATCTGCTAAATCCAAGATGATGTCCATCGGGAATACTTTCCTAGATAATAATGTATTGTTGTGGAGAGGATGATTATTATTATTCCAGAAGATTTCAGGCTCGACACAAAATGGTAAAGCTTTTACCTGCGCTTACCGAGCTGCATAATAAATATAAGAAATGGCCTCATGGATGCCATATGGCTTCGCTTTGAGGGGATACACACAGACTGTGGATTGAACTATCATCGGACTACGATTTGAGTAAACAAAGTTGGTGCCTTCAAGAATCCTTCACACTAGTGCTATGCATAGGCGAAGCAAAGAGAATGAATCGTCTCAACTAACAACTATTTATGTATGCAGCTAATCTTAAGCGGAGGTTCAGACTGCAGATGGATAGAAATGAAGAAAGAAAGCTCCATCTACTATTCTCTGTACCTCCGCAGGGCTCCACTGAGCTCCACTAGCTCCACTCGGCGGTCATGAATTTGAACTACCCCATTTGAGTCCATTGTATATGGGGCTGAAATCAGAATGGTCGGTGGCAGGAAAGAGCCAATCTGTACCCAACGGTCGCAACTTGCAAGGTGCCGGCTCGTGAGTCGTTTGACGTCGGGACTCGGAGGCTCGGGACTCGGAGGCGAGACGATCGGTTGTAGAGCCGACAGGAACCGATGCGAGTCTCGACCACATGCCGTCTTTGCCACAAATTCTGAAGCATTTTCCGATTTTTCTGGTTCGGGAGATCCTGTATGACCTTATTTATCCTTTGTTTTCCTAGGTTTTCTTCTTTTTTTTGTGCAGATGTGCAAGATCTGACCCAAGGCCAAGAGTAACCTTCGTCCAACAATCTTGCAGGAGTTCTGGGTAGAGGTGAGAAAAAACAGAGAATTTTCACTGACACAACCGCAGTGTGAAGGTTTTAATACCCCGGCTCTTAAGTTCACAGTGCAAGTTTGAGCGGACGACCAACGCCCCACCCAGCGCTCTTGCGCTCAGCCTCAAGTGGGAAACGAAGGGAGGCTCACATAATAGTGATTGTTGAGGGAGTTATTAGGAGTGGTTGAAATGTAAAAACTTCCTGACCAATATTTTCTGCAAGCAACTTGTTTGCGTCAGGCTTTTGACCTGTTTTTCCCCGAAGTGAATCAAGTGCTGCGCGAGCTCCGAGCGATGAAATGGATAGGAGTATGATGTCCAATCTTCATATCCTTTTTATGACAAGCTCAATGAGTCTTCATTTTTGCTTCAATCAGCCCACTGAAGTAATTTCAGATGGCAAGCTTCCTCCTGTATTTTTTTTTTCTTTGAACTAACCCTTCCCAATGATATTGTGAGCCAAGCGGGTGAAAGAATTTAGACATGATTGTTATTAGACCTCACTTCTGAGGTGATGGAGAAAGCTATGGCAATAAAGTCTAGTCTACCAGATGGAAGCCAAGGCCCGAGGTACAAGAGATTTTGAAAAGTCGTGTTATTCACATTGGTATTTGTAGTGTGCTGCTTAAAAAATATGTGAGGGTGAATATTGGCTACTCCGTTGTACTCTTTTCACCGCTCCCACATGTGTCCTATCCCCAACTAACAATAGCTATTGCACATACCTCATTTTATTTTTCCAATCCTGTGTGGGCCTGTGTTACAAACAGTCAAACATGTCTGAGCTCGATCATTCAGGCTAACTGGCAATTTTGTTTATCAAATTGACTTGACGATGCCATGATGGTCCAAGTCCAAGACTTGATGCTGAGGATAACTTGGGGCAAGCACTCATCCCCTCAATCATAAGGGTCCTAAATGAAGTGAGTGGTTCAGAGATTATACACTAACCACCATCATTGAAAGAGAGGACAGACCACATCTGTGGCAAAAATATAGGATGGATACATTATTTGAATGAAAGCAATTAGAAGAAATGGCCCAATTTGGGTGATCATTGTAATTCAATTCTTGTCTGGTTTGGAGGACTCGTCAGTTTTCTATCTCCTTCAAAATCACCTTTATACACCTTAGAGTCTAATTTTTGGGGATAAATTCTCAAGGATGATCCACTGCAATCACTTACTTGAGCTTCTATTGTTGAGTCAGAGGGGCATATTCAGGCCTGTAAATGGAAAATTGAAATCCTCCAGCATAGTGTTCCCCCATATTTATCACTCACAGAGTAATTCAGTCAGGTATGCATGGATGTAATGGGTTTGGGGTTTGAAGAATTCCATGCGACATTTTATGTTCAACTGGGCCTCAACAACTTGATTGCAATAAAACCCCACCAGTTGTTTTTTTTTTTTTGGCCTAGAAATTGCTGAATTGGTATTTTTTTTTCTTCTCAAAACTACATCAAGCAGCTGTAGTCTGCAATTGATCAACAAGCATAGCAGTGGTAAGTTATCCAGACATTGAGTGCAACTGTAAATATCCAGAATCCAATATAACCAGTACTGGTAGTGTAAACAATGTCAACACCCAATCTCTATTGGTGTCAATATGAATTGGGGCTTATTAAATTACATCGTGTAACTCATCTGGGATCTTTCTGGAATGGGTTATAATTTGATTGGATTATAGAAAATTGCACAGTCCAATCAAGTTTCCATTTTTACAGAATCAGAATTGAAGTAGGAGAAAGAAAAGCACTCAGAAACGTCTTGATTTTTTAAGAGTTTGTTCGAATTACCGATAATCTGGTATCATTCTACAGGAACATCCTGCACCATCATAGTTAAAATTATATAGAGGATTGTGAATGATCACATTTCCTGTTCCTTGAAACTATTGCAAAGTTATAAAATAAACTGCCAACCAATCAATAGAATTCAGTCAAATTCAATAAGACCAAACTCAACATACACAAGAATAATAAATTAAGAGAATTAGTTTTGAATACAGCTAATATTAATAATCACAACAAACACAAGGCTATTATTTGAAATTTCTGGTCTTTGAAAAGATGTTAAGCCTTTCGGGGCTTTTCAACAGATTTTGGCCTTTTTGGTGACAATGATTGGTTACCGGGGTGGGAACTGAACCTTCCAAATGTAGATCTGAATTTTTTTCCTCTTTTTGAATCAATCATTGTTGGTGGTCGTCGAAACATGTATGAATCCGGAGCCTGAGAAAATAACAACAAGTATAAGCCAATAAAACTTTTGTATATCAGCTCTAGAGATGGAGGATAGCTTACATAGGCTGTTTCACCAGATTGGTCTTCATCAATACCTTTCACCTCACTTTCAGAGTCGACTCTAAAGCTGCAAAAGGGTATCCGATTGATTACAATCATGCTAAAGTTTCAAATGGATCAGTGAAAAAAACTTTGTCTTATTTTTTTGTGTGACATGTAACTGACATAAGATAAGTGATAACAAAAGACCAAGTTCCACCAGCTCCAACCCATGCAAGCTGCTTGTACATCTGCTTCCAATTTTTATCGATCATCCCGCCGTCGATCACAGTGAAACCATCGGAACTCGCAATGCTTTTTTGGGCAAAAATACCAGTCAGTATGACCCCAACGGCACCTGAGTGTAAGATGTACGTAGAATGTCAGTTTTATTCTTGCGATTTTTTTTTCACATTCCAGATGTACCTGAAGTGGCGTGTCCAGCAAAAATATCCAAACCGTCGTCCCATGGAAGTTTGTCACGATAAGCAACGGTGAAATTTGAGACGGCAGCTGCGAAAATTCCAACCACAATGGAAGAGGAAGGACCAATGAAGCCTATGTTTGGAAATTGTAGTTAGAAAACTTATCCCAGTTTCTCTGCCCCAAACAAGAAAAATCGAGCTTACCGGCTAACAGTTGCAAAAGAAAACAAAGAAAGCAATGAGTTGTGTGAATAATGTTGTGCATGGGATGTTTCAAGGTTGGATAAGCTGCTTACCAGGTGCTGCTATAGCTACCAAACCGCAAATTGCACCCAGACAAAATGCGACGAGTGACCACTTTCTTTCTAATCGGAAATCCCTACAGCGCAAACACCATCAGAGATCATTTCGATTTGTCAGAGTTATAATTCTAGATAGCTTACATGACCAAGAAGGTTAGTCCGCCAGCGCATGCTGCCACTGTTCAAAGGGAGCCACATCAAGGAAGAGAAAAATGAGCATGGCAATGCGATTTTGAAGAGGAGGGGGGCTACAAACGATGCGTGTTAATCATGACCATAGCTCCCCGGATGTTCGCCAATGTTCCACTACCACTAAGACCCATCCAACCAAACCATAACAAGGTTGTTCCGAGTGCTACATGGGGAACGTTGTGGGGATGCATTTTGATGCCGTAGCCTCGCCTTCTTCCAATGAATAACGAATATGCCAATCCGGTCATGCCTGCGCAAAGCTCCATAGAGACACCTCCACCAAAATCGAGTACCCCCCATTTATACGCCCAGCCATTTGGATTGTATATCCAGCAGTTTATGGGGCAATAGACCAGCGTTGCCCAAAAAAACATGAAGATTATCGTAGGTCCTATCCTTCCCCTCTCTGCTGCAGAGCCAATAGCAACGGCACCGACGATGGAGGCTTGCATTTGCTGGACCATTGCAAAGGCAATTGTGGGTATCTTTGAGAGTGAAGATGGCAGAGTGAATAAGGTGTGAAGTAAATGGAAGGTAAAGAAAGACTCACTCGATTATTGGCGATTATGTCTGGTTCTGAAAATACATCCGTGTAACCGACCATGTCTAGATTCCCGATGAATAGACTAGCAGTGTGTGAAAATGCCAGAGAAACTGTGGATAACAATCCAAGTCAATCTTCAGCGGTACTGTCGGCCTGAGAGTGAAAGCGGTCACCACTTACATCCCCAGAACCAAAATTGAAGAGATACTACCTAAGTGTGCATAAATGGAGGTTCTTCTTAGTTACAGGCCGGGTGTTGGAATCAATATTTTGAATGGACAAAGAGGTGACAAACTCACAGCCATGGATAGCAAAGCAAGCAGCAGTAGGGACAGTGCATTTTTACCTCGCACCATTCCACTGTAGACAAAGGCAAATCCTGGAACGATTAACCTACATGATTAAAAGATTTTATGAGCCAGCATTCCTAACTGAGTTTGCTTGGAAATCATGAAGAATCGAAGGGATGATAATGAAGACGAGTTTCTCACCAAGCCATAGCCGCACAGATGAGTACCCATGCTATATCTCCAGGGTCGTAAGCGTATATTTGGCCATCTGATTCTAGAGCAATGACATCTGTCCCTTTGGTGGATAGAATTGACTCTGGTCCTGTAAACATAGTAGAATTCGACTCGGACAAACTGCCATAGGTTAACAGCGGCATTGCAGCGTGAAATTAAAGATTGGTTTGTTCGGATGATCCTGGTGCCGCCGTACCGAAGTAAGAAATTCGAATCAATCGAGAAAGGGAATGATTACACGGAATAAATGAAGCGATTACGGGAATAAGACTTCCTGGTAATCGATTTACTTGGCACGAAAAATATATTATAAATAATGTTTAAAAGTAAGTCAGGCGATAAAGGCGGTAAGCAAAACGATGGCGTTAGATATTGCCAAAAGGGAGGGTGATGAGAACGTATCAATTCTCAGTTTCTTGTACCACGCTGACAAGGCACTGGCACTCCAGCAGTCCCGATGGCTGAGTTATCCCGACTCCAAAAAAACGGGGTTTCGCCCAGACTGGCTGCACGTGACTAGTTTGTGTTACACCACCGGGCCAGTAAAACACCGTGACCCAACCAACGCGCGGAGGGAAGTGAACGGTTTAGCTGAGTGGTCGCCGACGGGCCGCTGTGCTCCGGTGGTCAGCCAAAAGCTGCATGATTGTAAGTTCGATATCTCTCGGGCTCCAACCTTCCTTCAATATGCAATCGCTCGGGTCCCAGGCTGTTTGCTCATCGGCTCGGCCAACCCTGTGGCAACCCTGATCTGCGGTTTATGGCACAGACGGGTAGCTCGTAAAAATCACTCAGACATCCTACCTCCCACCGGAGACGCCGAAGCGAATCGGCCAGTGAACCGTCCAGTTAGAATACCAGGGCAAGGAAACAAAAATGACCCCAGGGATTTTGACTTTCTCCAGGGCGGATGAAATTGTTATCGAAGTCATTTTTACTTTGCTTCTTTGAGTGACTTTTCTCCATGGATTGAAAAGTGTCAATGAACGGCGGCAAAGACGAATTTTCTGTGTTAGCTCAACAATGGGTGAACGGCCACACTCCCCTTGATTCAACAGAACATTCCTCTTGTTGACTGTCGAGTCAGAAGAAACACAAGATGAGCCAGGACTCGGGAGATCGAGGTACGATCAGAGAGGAATCGGGAGAGCTCGGTGACGACTACGGCAAAATCTGATCACCACTCCTCCTGATCAGCATACCGCCACTACATTCGACAACAGGAAGCGGCTCGCGATTTCCCTTGCCCTTCTCGGGCCCGCTCAACGTCCTTCCAGTCCACTGCCGCCAATCAACAAACCGCTCCTCCCCGAATAGATTAACATTATCAGTAATAATCAGACCTTCGACCTTTATCAGTCATACCGCGCTACCGCTGCGAGCTGCCTTGTTCACCGATCCAAATTCATCAGCAAATGAAGAATTCAATCAATTTTATGGTTCCTAAACTTAAATTCATATTGGTACAGGTCTTGTAAACAACCTAGCCTTTTGAAAGAGTCTGTTTGGAAGCATCCACAGACAAAAATATCAATGTAGTCCCCTCCAATCAAAATTTCCATCATTTTAATACAAATTTTATCATATCTTGAGTTGTTCTTCCTCATTCATATCACTCAAGACTGTTATTATTTCAGTTAGATCAAATTTTACTGAATCTAGTCTCAGTCATTCATTCTTTTTTTTAATTCTCCATCTCATGATTCAAGAAATGGCGAAGAAAGGAATTGTGCAATATACAGCTCAGATTATCAAACAGACTTGAAAAAATTAAAAGTGCAACATTTGGATTGGGATTTAAGGGTATTACTACTCCCAGAGGAATACTGATTCTCTTCAAATTTTATTCATGTGAAGAGCCAATATGTCATGAAAAAGGAAGCCTTTCACTGATGGTCCATTTTTGTGTCTGAAATTTTATCTACCAAGTTGCCTCAAGTATGCTTTTTGGGAGAGATTCAAGAGAGGGAAAGAAAAATAAGAGAATGGGAATCTTTACTGTTTAGTTGTCGCGTCAAAATTGCACTTAAACCGGACCTGCAATTTCTTTTTGACCATCATGTTTCACACTGTACAACAGTAAAGAAGTCCAACAAAAACATCAGGAATTGGGAAAGAATCTCAAAAGCAAAGCAACCTTCACGCACAAGTCCCAAACGACCGGCCCTTCATACATGACACCGAGAGGATTGGGGCCAAACTTTTGCAAAATCTACCAATAATAAAGAGTTGAGGAAATGATTAATTAGATAACTCATCAGCAATAACAACAATCATAATCTGCATCCCAAATATGAAGTAGCTCACCGCATCAGAGACGGCTATGGTAGAGCATCCCTTGGTATAATCGCCATTGAACCCGTTAAACCAACAGCCTTAGAGACGAAAGGATTGTCAGAAGTGGCACAGCATAATGGTTTGTTTACAAAAGATCAGCTAAGAGTCTCAAGTGGGCAATAGAGACTTACTATCCGTGACTGTTGCCAATATACGCGTTTTGGGTTGATCCTTTTTCTGGATGTATCTACGATTTGTATGTGTTGCTTGAGTTTGACTGTCCCTTAGTGAGAGTAGCGCTTGAAAAGCAGAGCAGGGGTACTAACACTACCTTCCCACAGTTGGAAGGATTCGCGCTGAATGAGCTCCAAGAATTCAGTATATGTGATACAGCATTTCTTATCTGATCGCGGAGAGAGTGACTCACTGGTTAAGCCATCCCGCTTCCGGCTTAGCATTGTCCTTGTCAGGCCCCCTCCAAAGACACACCGCTGGAAATATGCTAGAATCCACGTTTCTGATTTCGGGCTGGCAGGTCTGAAAGTTCGATCACACCAACCGAATTAATACTTCAACGGAGAAGGTGTTCTAGAGGCGCAAAGTTACCGGTGCGATCGGGTCAAACGGGTAACTCTGGAACTGGACGACATATCAGAAAACAAGAAGAAACGAGTGAAGTCAGCAAGGATTTTTATATCGACTTGGAAGCTATAGGTTTAGCTAACAAGGAAGGTGACATCTTGCTCTTTGGGAGCGGATGGCTTTTGGCATCGAAGATCTGATGGTTCAGCCGCGTTCACGCATCCATCTTTTAACAGAAAGTAGTCAAAACACCCTGAGTACCCATAGGCTGAGGCTGACAGTGCCAGAAAGGCGAGACACGCAGATTTCATAGGTGGATTAGCTCTTGCGTTGTTGGTTCGGAGTTGATGGATGTGTAATTTATTTTTGAATTTTTTGGATGCAACGAGGCTAGGTGGCCGCCAAGCAGCGGTCATTGGTGATGCATTCAGCCCATTTGTGAGTCTTCCAACGTGATCATGAGGCTTGTTGCTGACACAGCCAGGACAAGCCCCACATACATAGGTCCTCATAGGTCCCTGTAGAGAGCCTCTAAATTGAACATAAATACACAAATACCCCACACAAAAAAAGCAGAAAAACATACATAGTGAGTATGCGTTGACGATGCCGACGTTTGCCGGTGGTCGGAAGTGCATAGCCAGGGTGGCTCATGAACCTCTCAAGATTTTCTTTTCCCTAAACTTAAGTCACATTGGTACAGCTCTTTGTAAACAATCTAGCCTTTTGAAAGAGTCTGTTTGGAAGCATCCAAAGACCAAAGTATCAATGCAGTCCCTCCGATCAAATTTTCCATCATTTGAATATAAAGCAAGGCCAAAAATCTGAATACTTGCTATGAAGGACTACTTCTATCAAGCACAAAATGGACATATCATTCAATTGCCCACCAAATTCATTCTTCCCATTAGCAACTATAATTTCAGACCAGTTTTGTGCATGTGCCGCTGCATAATTCTTTAGGATTCTACTCAGTGTTGCACACTTCATTCAAAGGTATTGCCAAGAAAATCAAACCTGGTGGGTTCATCTGTGATGGATGAATGTTGTTTGTGGAGCCATGTCACCCCAGTCACCCCAAATCAGATCAATGCATACAGCACCAATTCTATTGTGTCACATCATCTCTATGTCATATGATACATAATTCATGGTTTAGCATATTGATGAGGTTGCATACTGGAACCACAATAATCCAGCAGAATCAACTGATCTGAAATCATATTTTGATTGAATTTTCCAGATCTTGAGTTGTTATTTCTCATTCATATCACCCATGACTATAATTATTCCAGTCAAACCAAATTTTACTGGATCTATTTAGTCTCAGTCTTTCTTTCTTTTGTTTTATTCCCCATCTCATGATTCAAAATATGGTAAAGAAAGGAATTTTGCAATGTACATACAGCTCAGATATTATCAAACAGAACTGAAAAGTTAAACATACAAAATTTGGATTGAGATTTAAGGGTATTGCTATTCCCAGAGGAATACTGATTCTCTTCAAATTTTATTCATGTGAAGAGCCAATAATAATATGTCATGAAAAAAGGAAGCCTTTTATTGATGGTCCATTTTTGTTTCTGAAATTTCATCTACCAAGTCTCCACAAGTACACTTTTTTTGGAGAGATTCAAGAGAGGGAAAGAATAATAAGAGAATGAGGTTTTTTACTTTCTAGTTGTCCCGTCAAAAATTGCACTTAAACCGGACCTGAAACTTCTTGATGACCATCATTTTTCACACTGGCCAACAGTAAAGCAGTCCAACCAAAATGTCAGGATTTGGGCGAGAATTTTCAAATCAAAGCAACATTCACGCACAAATCCCAAACGACCGGCCCTATATACATGTGATCCATGACATGAGTGGGGGCCAACTTCTTCATAACCTATCAAAAATACAGAAGATTTGAGGAAATGGTTGATTAGATAACTCATCATCAATACAAATCATCTACATATATCAAATAAGAGAGTAGCTCACCGCAGTAGAAACGGCTATGGCGAAGCATCCCGTCGTATAATTACCATGGAACCAACCCTGAAACCAACAACCTTAGAGATGAAAGGATTGTTAGAAGTGGTACAGCACAATAGTTTGTAGAGACTTACCCTCTATGACCTTTGCCAATATACGCGTTTTGGGTTGATCCTTTTTCTGGATGTATCTACGATTTGGATGTGTCGGTTGAGTTTAACTGTGCCTCTAAAATAGCTAGAGTAGCATTTGAAAAGCAGAGTATTAGGGGTACTAACACTACCTTCCCACAGTTGGAAGGATTCGCGCTGAATGAGCTCCAAGAATTCAGCATATGTAATATAGCATTTCTTATCTGATCGCGGAGAGAGTGGCTCACTGGTTAACCCATCCCGCTTCCGGCTTAGGATTGTCCCAGTCAGGCCCGGTCCAAAGACAAACCGCTGGAAATGTGTCATAATCCACGTTACTGATTTCGGGCTTACAGGTCTGAAAATTTTCGATCACATATCAACCAAGTCAATACTTCACTTTGGGATGTAAGCTCGAGGCTCAAAGTTACCGGGGAGACCAGTGCCGACGGGTCACGCTTGAACTGGACGATATATCAGAAAAAAACAAAAAGAAACGATTCAAGTCAGTGAGTGAATTTGATGTGGACTTGGAGGCTAGAGGTTTAGCTGACAGCGTAAGTGGTGTGTTGCTCTTTGGGAGCCGATGGTTTTTGGCATCGAAGATCTGATGGTTCAGCCGCGTTCACGCATCCATCTTTTAACAGAAAGTAGTCAAAACACCCTGAGTACCCATATGCTGAGGCTGACAGTGCCAGAAAGATAGCGAGACACGAAGATTTCATTGGTGGATTGGCTCTTGTGCTGTTGGTTCGGAGTTGATGGATGTGAATAATTTTTTTGAATTTTTTTAGATGCAACACTTACACGGGTATGTAGTTGGGTCAGCAAGTAGCAACTAGTGAGATGATCCATTCAGCCCATTTTCAAGTCTTCCACCGCGATCATGAGGCTTGTTGTTGGCACAGCCTAGGACAGCCCCACATACATAGGTCCCTGTAGACAGCCCCCAAATTCCACATACATAAATAAAACCCCACACACAAAAAGTACAGAAAATCGTACAGTAGTAACGAGCCACTTTGAGTGTATTCGTGCACATTTTCATTAGAGCAGACTCGATAGTTGACGATGCCGATGATTGCGGGGGGTCGAAAGTGCATTGTAGCCGGCCTCATGAACCCCTCCCATTTCAGCATCTTGGAATAAGCGATATTTTGCCATCCGGCACAGGATATATCCGAGGATAAGCACTTGTTGCATGTAACAGGAGCTCAGTAGGGTTGGGGTCTTGCACCGACCAAGGCTGCCATGGCATCAGATTAAGGACTCTTGAAGAAAATCATGAACTTTTACTTTTACCTCAATCCAAACAACGAAAAAAAAAGAAGGCAAGGAGAATAGAAAAAAAGATCGCTTCCCGATGTGAAGATTTGTTCATGGTTTTGATCCTAGCAATCGTCCTAGCAGTAGTAGTAGAACATGCATAGAAAACATAGCGGAAAGGAAAGAGAGAGAGAGAGAAACAAAAGGCATGTAGTAGTCCTAGAGTCGACTGGAGATTGATCTTTGGGGGAGACTGAAAAGCAAGTTGATCAAGTGCAAAGGATTCGGAAGTAAAAAAAAAAAAAAGGAGATGTCGGCCAACGTTTTGCCAAATGGATCCACCAAGCGAAGCGCTCGTGGCCGATGATGAAAAAAAGACATCCTTGATGTTTGAATGATGCACGATTTGCCAGCCGACCGATATAAAAAGAGCACACAAGATCAAGTTCAGTCCAACCTTTTTTCAAGCGGTAGTATAGGTCACGGTGGGGCCCGTAAGCAGATAGCCCACTCACCATTTGTCTCCGCATTCGATTCAACACTCACAGGTCGACATGTCCTTTGGACAATTAGGAGCATGGCATTGCTGGACTGCTTGTCTGGCGACTAAGGAGGCTGGAACGCCGTTGACGGCTTGATTTAATAAGGATGATAAGAATGATAAGAAAAACCCAAGATTGAAGTAGATTTGCATTCTTGAATATTGGATTATTTATGATTCTAATGAGTCGTAGGAGAGACAATATACTAAAAAACAACAACAACCGTGTTCTTTGAGGTTTTTAGATGTCGGCGATGGAGTGAGTCTATCTCTGAGAGCAAAGTGGATCTAAGGGAAGATGGAAAGGCCAGTGTGCCCGCAGGCCATGGGCATACTTTATAGACCGCGGCTCAGGCCTTGAAAAACCTGGACAGTCAAAACCCGACGCTTTCCCAGTACTTAAACCACCGAGGTTCCCGAGACGACGCAGCCAAATGTTTGATTGTTTACAAGAGAGGCGAACAATCGAGCGGTCGGATCGGACAAAAATCCTCCCAGTCGATTTTCAAAACAAAAAAAAAGCAATCATTGAAGTGACTTGGCCGATTCTCCCAGCACAATGCACTTCACTTTTGACTTCCGGGCTCGGCCCAAAACACTGATCAATAAATAACCTGCACTTGGGGCATCGAAAAAGGACGACAGCTGAAGTGTTTTGAGCGGGCCCGGAGACTGAGTTGAGAGAGAGAGAGAGAGAGAGAGATCATAAAAGGGACTTGATATTATTATTATCGCGCGCCGATTCCAAACGGGCAAGTTCAAAGACATCACACTTTCGACAGCCATGGGCCCTGTATCACATGGACACCATCTTTTTGGGATATCGGAAAGCCTGGGTTTTGGAGAAAGAGCTGAGGGGGTCTTATGATTAATGAACGCTATCGGGGACACGCCTTCCCGGCCCTCATATTCTTCGTTTCGGACAAATCCAAGGGAGGCACATAAATAGACTATGTAATCTTATTTATATCCAACAGAGCAAGGCCATTGTCGGAATACCCAAATCATCTTGTTCATCCACTATACATAGGGCGTAGATAACTTATGTTGTAGGACTCCAGGATAATATATATTTAACCACCTCCACAACTTCAAACTTAAATTGGTTTCTAAACGGAAGGGCAAGGAGGGTCTTCGGAGCTGCCAATCACAACTTTCGACAGCCATGGGCCCCTGTATCATACCCCATGGACCAAACCATCTTTTTGGGATATACCGGGAAAGCGGCTTTGGGTTTTGGAGAAAGAGCTGAGGGGGTCTTATGATTAATGAACGCTATCGGGGACACGCCTTCCCGGCCCTCATATTCTTCGTTTCGGACAAATCCAAGGGGAGGCACATAAATAGACTTATGTTAAATTCTTATTTATATCCAACAGAGCAAGGCCATTGTCGGAATACCCAAATCATCTTGCTCAATCCACTAAATACCATAGGGCGTATAGATAACTTTATGTTGTAGGACCTCCAGGATAATTTTATATATTTAACCACCTCCACAACTTCAAACTTAAATTGGTTTATAATGGGAAGAGCTAGGAGGCTCTTCGGAGCTGCCAATTGCAAGTTACATAGAAGTGGCCCACAAGATCATGCCCCATGGACCAATTGGTCATTATCAGAAAGACTAGGGAAGTGGCTTTGGGTTTAGATGAATATAAATAATAGGTTGATGTATAAGGGCCCTGGATTCACGTGTTATCGGACCCAGTCTGTTGATCAGGAAAGAGCCTTGCGAAATCAGCGGATCATGTTCATGTTACATTTATAACACGAGTTAACTGAAACGCATGTATCTTGATTGGAAAAATCAAGCCAATCCGTAAAAACGAAAGACCTTATAGACGAGTATATCAATAGACATCCGGTCAATTTCAGGGAGTCAAAAAAAAACAAGATTTCAAGAGTGATTATGATGAGGATGATGATGTCGATTATAAAGGATTGTTATAAGTCCAAAGTTCGAATTTATACATGAACGAGTTTTCGATGATAAGTTGATCGAAGTTAAACGGGAGTTGATAGTGAGGCTCGGGGACAGAACCGGAAGAGTTTTGATGATCAGGAAGGACCAAGAACTGGTTCAGTAGGTCCGGGTTTTGCGACTTGGACCAATGTTTAGAGGCTCTAAATTCGGGAAAGAACGCATCCAAGGATGTCTCGATTGCGGGATGTTCAGAGAGGATCCTGGTCATCAAGATCGTCGATGGTTTGTAGAGCCTGTTATTGTCCGGTTGAGAGTCGAGTACTGATTTGTATATCTCAGAGCCCCCGATCACAAACACTTTGTTAACCAACGGTTCTCCGCCAGTCTTGCGTTCCTTCAACACCGATGTTGTTGTTTCTTGTTGAGTGTTGTTATCGGGAGAGTCAAGAGTTCGGATGAGGTGACAGGCCGACTCGATCGAATTGACCAGATAACTATCCTGTTGCTGATGACTTGAGAAAAAAAAGGAAGACGACAACTGATCAGTCCCAAACACCGGCCTCTGTTGCAAAAAAATCGAGAAAGAGAAAGACGAACATATCGAGAGCAGCCGGATCTTTAGATTGTCGACTGACGACGATATTGATCCGATTAGCGAGAGGTCTGAACTTGCTGGGGATGCTCAGCCAAGTCTTCCTGCCCATGATGACGACGTTCTTGCATCCTGAGGGGGCCAGAGTGGTGACCGATTTGAAGAAGTTCATGTCCTCCTTCAGCCGCCATGGGAGTCGTCCTGCTTGGCCTATCCCATTCGATTTCGTCGCACACACGATCAGGTTCAGTGGGATCATATCCCCCTCGGCTGGCTTTGCTTGGATTGGTCTTGGTTGGCGGGGGATTGGTATTCTGGTTGGCTGCTCAAGTTTGGTCAACCTTCTCCCTTCATAATATCGAATCTTCAATGCACAAAGCAAAGATCCACTAGAAGCATATAATAAGGAACAACAAAACCATTGTGAAGATCACAAAAAACAAAAACAACTCCTCTTTTTCCACAGAAAGAAACCAGTGATTCTGACTCAAAGAAAGTACAAGTATTGACTCCAGAGCTCTACTAGCCATCAACATTCAACATCCATACAAATTAGAACCCCAAATGTAACCTACCTGAAACATGCACTAATTAGAGCTGTTTTGACACAACTCACCAAGTTCTTTTGTTTCCAAAAGATCATTTTAATTGATAGATGTAATTCAGATTGTATCCCAGTAAGCTACCAAAAGTATCCCTAAAATATTGGCTCTGATGAGCCCAGGGAATTCTATACCAAAGAACCTCAAAATCATCCCCCCCCAAAAAAAAGGCAGGATCCACAAAGCCAAGATGAGTGAAGCAAACTAACCCTGGTTTTTGAGACTATGAACAAGACTATTGCACATATACCATACATCCCTTCTTCACTCCAGAGTTATAGACATATACAAGAGGGTGTGGATAGGACCCAGGAAGCCTGCCAAACTATGTAGGTGGGTAACCTAAATGTACAAATTTTGGGGAAAAAAACAAGATCATGTGCACAAAAGTGGTATGAACAAAACAAGGTTTAAATGTACAAATTGCAGGTCAATCTTGAGCAAAACCACCCAAAATGAACCATCCCCCCCTTTTTTTGGGGGGGGGGGGGTGGGGAGGGTGGGGGGAAGATTTTCGATGATTTTTTCACTTTCTGGGGGATTTTCTCCCAAGCATACCCACAAAACAAGTATGAATATGGCCCCAAAATATGGGTTTCCCTCATGGCCCCCAAGGTATGAATTTTTTCAAAATCTGGTGTTTTTTTTTTTTGGGGGGGGGGGTTATGTACCCACATATATGTACAGTCAGGTTTAATGATGTGTCCCTATTTACCCATGAATGGAATGGGTTAATGAATTTAAAAAGATCCCTTAGAGCAACCGCATCGGTCGCTGGATTAAGGCCGGATTAGCGTAACTACTCCGAGCTAGTCCAAGCCCTCAACCGCATTGGGTCCGAGTTAATTGGACTAAACTAATCCCGGAGTAGGATTTGAGCTAAGCAGGAGTAAAGTTACTCCTTCCTAATCCTGGGATTAAGAGCCAATCAGCACACTCAACATGCGCGCGACCCCGGCTACTCCCAGTTTTACACCACACTGATGCGGTTGCCGACCCGGAGTAGCACTAATCCAGGATTAAGCTACTCTGCTAATCCTGAAGTTATACCCGCACCAATGTGGCTGCTCTTAAACTATAGTTTGCATGAGTCAGGAGAGACTTTGGCACTTTTTTTTTCAGAAGACTAATGACTTGGTTGCGTGTTCACATAAATAGAGTGGTTTTGAGACTGTATATAAGCTTCTTATGTTATCTCACTCAGAATTAATCAATCAGGGCTGTGAAGTGACATTTCATCCAGAGAAGGCTGAAAAGAAAGTGATTCAGAAATGTGGGTGCTGTTTGAATAGCAAAATGATAAGATATTGACGTTCCGGAATAAACAACAAAGAAGGCTGCGAGTTTGTTTTGTGAGAACCAACAAGGTGTCAGAGTGTGACCACCAAAACAAGTGAGCAAAAAAGACAGCAGACCTGAACATCCATGATGAGAGGAATGAAGAGAGATTGAGTTGAAGATTAGAGACAAGTTGAGTGTATGATACTTGAATGAAGAAGAGGAAAATAAAACTGAGAGAAAATGAAGTTGAAATAGTCTCTTCTACCTTAGGCTTAGGGTCCAAACTCTGTCTATCACCTTCCCTCTGTCATGTGCAGCAATTCAGGCGGTGAGCATCCAAGTCTGTGGCCTGTCAATACGGGGGACATATTTGGGGATCGGACAAGGCTCAGTTGCATTCAAGAATGTACGGATGAAAAGTAAATACAAGCAGTGAATTTTTTCAAAAGAATAAAAGGGCAGAAAGTTCCTCAAGGATCTGACAAAGCTGACAATTCTTTTCATCACAAAGAAGAATGATTGATGTGATAGAACAACCAATTTAAAACAAAACAACAGTTTAATTGGGGGATGTTGATTTTTACAAACTGTTTTTTACAAACTAGTTGCATCGTAAAAAAATCACGTTGTGAAATTGTAGACATTGCCAGAGCCTTTCAATTTTGCAAAGTTTTCATTTCTGTAGGCCATTGTAAACAAGATCGTTGTAATGATTGCATTGTTAAAATCAATGGAAAGCGTTCTAACAAGTGGTTTTGCGGAGAGCTCCGCGCAAACTGAAGACATTGTAATGTCATAACATCGTAAATATGTAGAAATTGGATCTAGGAGGCAAGTTCACAAACTGGGCCTTTACAAGGACTAATTGACGCAAACAAGGTCTGTGCAAAACTACATTAAACTATTATAGAAATACAAATTTACAATGTCTGCAAAAAAAGTACAAAAAACACCCCAAAAAAGCACCATTTCAGGGCATCCGACGGGTCCTTGCTGACCGCCGCTGACCCTGAGCAGGTCTCATTTCTTACAGAGGCTGTTCCGGGGCAGGCCTGGAACCCTCCTCTTGCAAAGGCACAGGGGAAATCACCTTGAGCTGATGCCCAGGAAGAGTGACTTCCTCCTCTATCTTCTTCCAGCGTGCTGCACTAAATGCCACCATACGATCCCAGTCGGCGTCTGTTAGGGGGGCTGGTATGAATTCCTCCTGAGAGCTGGTTGCTTGTTGTGCAGGGGGCTTTATCCCCTTGGCGGCCGTAGGTTTCTTTGACCTCTTGGAAGTCGGTGCGGATGCTGTATGCAGCTGAGAGCCACCCAGTTTTGCGGGGACAATCGGCGGGGCTGACGAAGCCGGCGTGGCAGACGTTGGTGATAAAGATGACAGTGGGGGTCCTGGTGGGGCTGATGACGGCAGTGCTGGGACAACAGACCCATTGGGTGAGGCTGTTGGACTGGACGGCTTGGATTTTCGTATCCGGATCTTTAGCCCCTGCAGAGGAGGCTGTTCGCTTTGGGATTCCAGGTCTTGAGGTTGTGTGATCTCGATGGCAGGGATTGAAAGTGTCGGTTGTGTTCCGGAATATACAGGGATGGCCATGTGGGAATTTGAGTGGATTATGGTGTGCATGTAGTCAAATGGCATGCTCTTAGTGAACTGGGGGTTGTCCCGGCGAATATTGGCAATACCTTGATCCACAAGCAACTTCTTGTCTGGCATCCAGTGACGAGAGTAAATAACCCAGCTAGTATTGTCTTGGGCCCCACTAATCTTCCCTGGCTCTTCATCAATACATCGGGCATACCCCCCATTTGCCCGGTCATCGTGCAACCACACACCTGTCATCCCGTTGGCGTTCCGCAAAACCTTCCCCCAGTAATGATTACCTCCCCAAAATCCGCAAGAAATGAGTGTATACTGGTAACCAAAGACTTCTATCTTGAATGGCCAGTTGACACCACCCATGAAGGCCATCTGATCGGTATGTTCAAGAAGGGTGGCCACATCATGAAAGAAATAGAGGTGAAGCGGGGGGGGTTGCATTGTGAAGCGTCAATCGAGAGTTCACACACAGATAGCTGTCCGATGAAGGTAAGATGTCGATGTCCTTTGAAGATCTGGACGATCCCTTTCGCTTGTGTTTGGCTGTGTTGCGGTCAGGGGTGCGGCAATATAAACCAGAAATCTGCTCAAGACCATGGTCGGTCCATAGGGACAATAGTGATTGGGGATTGTCTGGTGCGATACAGTTGCTGTCGAACATATCCTTTGTGATTCGCAACACCGTCAAGTTACGGTTAACGGTGGGTTGTTCCTTAGAGCCTGGATGTTGACGACAAGTGTAGTTGCGAATCTCGTTGACCTGAAATAGCTTTGGCAAGGTCTTTGACTTGTTTTTAGATGGATCTAATACCATCTGCATGAACATATCACAAGAGGCAAATTCACCATCGAGAAAACTCTGAGGAGACATTTCCTGTGCTGCCAGGTAGATCTTATTTGACCCGCTGGTGAGAGTATAACGAATTGATTGTGGCTTGATGAGCTCAAAAGTGGTACGCCTGGAGAAATGTGCGACCAATTCAAAAAAAAGATCGGTTTTCTTGCCGCCAGCTTCTTGAAGCCAAAGGGGGCTGTAGACCGCATATAGAGACTCGAGCGCAGCTGCCAACCAGCAGCGATTCTTATATTTATCTTCTTTGGAAGCCAGATAAGTGGGGAACGTTGACACTGGATTCCTATTGATGTTGGGTGAGTTGACTGGGCGCCCCAATTTCTTATCTTTCCTAGGTCGTTCACTTTCTGACAGGAGGGCATCGGTGGTATCTGGAGGCCTGCCATCGTTTGAAGCCGCTTTCTGTCGCTTAGTTGGCTTGATCCATCCAAGTGAATGTGCGACATCTTTCATTTTTGAAGGCTGTGATCCATATGCTATCAGTATCCCACGCAAGACCAGATTCCAATCCCTCTCAAGCGCCTTCACGAAGGCAAAGAGCTCGGCCATCCCATAGTAGAGGGACTTCTTTCCTGTGCTGTACAAATTTAATTCAATTAATGTCAGTATGTTTTTCTTTGCTTCAGATGTGATATCACAAAACGGAAAAAGGAGATTGAGAGTCAAGGTACCTCAACATGTAGTAGACTCGATGCATACTTTCCTGTGCATTGGTCGTTGCAGGAAGTCCATCACAAGTGCTCCTACCGTCTGGTCTTGATTCACCTCGGCCAGGAAAGAGCATTGCTTCTACGTCAGCTGCAGTCCACCAGTCTAGCCACCGCTTGGTCTTTGGAAACCTCCGTCGAATCTCGTCAACCTTTTCTTCATGAGTGGCACCACCCTCAACAGGAAGCAGCAACAATCCTTCACACAACTTTTCAAAAGATTGCTGTGTGGTGAATAAATGAAAATTAGTTGTGTACCTCACAACACAATCACAGAAAATGAAGGAACTCACCACCTCATCGGCCCTGATAACTGACCGATTCCGTTTGACACGAGTAATTGATGCTTGGTAATGCTGCTGACAGCCCTTGAGATGCCCCAGAGCTGCCTTGCTATCGGTGCCGCCAAAGATCTCAAGCCATGCCGAGATAAATCCTTCCTGTTGAGCTTTTGAGAAGTTGACAACGTTTCTTGCAAGATCTTCTCGTTTGGGCTGGGTGATTTTGGGAACCATAAATTGTTTGAAGAGGACAGCAAAATGTATCTTGTAATATTCCTCCAAAAGTCCATATATCCAGCTCAGTTGAACCGGAGTCCAACGTGCAATTTCCGAGCAATACATTGATGTTGTTAGCAAGTACCCCGAATCAAAATAACGATATGTAACATCCGATATCAATCCTCCTTTGTATAAATTCTTCTCGGTATTGCGATCCACAAGCCGGGCCGCCATCCATGGGGCAGCGGTGGGCCGCTACGCTACACTACGCTACAGGCCCATGTAGCGTTAGCGTAGCGGCACCATTTTTCTTTTTTTTTCGTGTAGTGTTAGCGCGCCGCTACTGCCGCTGCGCTATGCTAACTTGTAGCGGCGCTAACACTAGCCAAATTTTGGTTTAGTGTTAGCGCACCGCTGGCGCCGCTACGCTGCGTTACGCTACGCTACAGCGTTTTTAGCGGCAAAAAACGCCTAAAAACCGCTAAAAATGGCTGTAGCGCAGCGTAGCGGGCGGTTTTTTGCGCCCTGTGCGCGTAGCGTTAGCGCACATGGGGGGAATCGCGCTAACGCTACGCTAAACGTTAGCGCAAATTTTTCCCCCCTCCGCGTAGCGTTAGCGCAGAAATTGAAAAACGCGCTAACGCTACGCTACATTGTAGTGATTTTTCGCTACACTACGCTACGCTAACGCTACGGTTAGCGTAGCTGGCCCACCGTTGCATGGGGTCTGAAAGGTAAAATGTTCCTTACCGCTTCTGAATGATGTTGAGATGATGTTCAAGCCTCTCCTGGGGTTTGTGAATATGTACATTAAATTAGCTTGGATGGGTTTTATAAAAGGTTGAATCAATGCCAGGACAACTCAACTGTTCCCAGGTGAACATGTCGTGCATGAACTTATCACCGCTGCCACCTCCCATCTTCTCGGGTGCCAAGTTCAGCTGTCGAAGGATTTCACGCCGATAGTGTCGGAACCGATCCAAATTGCCAAGAGATACATGGATATCTTCCACTGTGCCTTCGGGCTTGTGAGCGTCATTGGGGTTGCCAACCTGAAAGAGATGAAGTTTGATGGGTATTAGTATTGTCTAAATCACACGGAGTTTGGATGCGATCAGACAAACCTTCAGTTGTAGGGTCCCTGCCTTGGGGTTTTTGGCAACTTCCTTCTTCAAGACCTCCATGGCAAGGGGGTCGGGCTTCTTCAGGTCTGGCCATCGGTGGTTATGGAAACCTTTGTGTCGAAGGAGCCTCCATCCCGTTGCGACTTCAGTGTCAAACCGCAAGTGGGTATCGTTGCACTCCTGCCAGTGAACCTTCCCTTGACATCTGGATCCTTCACAAATTGGATCCCTAGAGTTTTGCGCACAACACGGGTACAATGTCAGTGCCGATGTTGATAGTTTGGAGGTAACTGCGAGATATTGAATGAGCTTACGTTGCAAGATACTCATCTATTTTGCCAGCGCCGGTGGGTGGGGGACCAGCATAATCACAATCTTCTTGATCACAGACTAGTACACCCAGGCAGTATACACGGATTGTCTTCCATTTCTTGTTGGTGGTCGTTCCATAACTAGTTGTCTTGGAGAAACCCACCTTCCCAAAATTCTTTATTTTGACGTCCGGTAGTAAGACGTAGGTGGTGTTGTTGTTTGGGCATAGTGGATACCCTTCTGCATCTATCACGCAGTCGTGGTCTAAGAAGGTAACTTGATCTTTTGCATGAGGCAATTGCCAATTTGGACCGGCCATCCTTTGGTTTTCTTTAGGGATGTCACCCACTTGGCTGGACTTTGCGGCAGTGAATCTCATGCTGTCGGAGGAAATGGAAAGATTGACAATCTCGAGAGAGATGGGTTTAGTTTGAGGAATGAGTGATTATGGTTTAATGAATGTAAGACGGAAGGCGGAGTAAGGTGAGTAAGATGATGAATGAGAGGAATAGGAGTGAGGAAATTAGGATTCAGGAATCGAGGGATAAATGGGTGTATATTGGGTGATTATGATGAAGGAATGAAACACGGAAATGAGAGAAATAAGAGCACAAATGGGGGGAATGAAATAGATGGGGCTGGATTCCGTTCTTGCAATTGGCTGTTGCAGGGACTTTGATGATCATTACTCCGCTCCCTGCAAGCAACATTATGCAAATGTCTATTTTGGGAAGCGGATTCTCAGTTTTGCGGCCTTGGTAAAGGCCCTTGCAATGGATTAGTGTGCAAAAGTGCATGTTTACCCAATAGGTAAAAAGATTTGCAAGCTCCACATTACGAGGCAATGTTTACGCTGGGAGGTTTTGGCAGATTGCCATGTAAAGTCATACTCAGGGGGGCTAGTGTTGACTTTTACAAAGACATGGATTTGCGGGGACATGACATTGTAAAACACACTCCACAAATTTCACCCTCCCCGTTTAATTGAGTTCAATTTGCTAAAGCTGATGTTTCTATTGAAACTTGAATGAAAAAGCTTTTTGAAAAAAAAACCTGGAAAAAAAGTGACTCATGATCCTTCACTTCATTAACCATTCCAATGGTTTTTCTCCAGGATGGTATGGGTTACAGTGCTAGAGAGAGACTTAGAGCAACCACATTAGTTGATGGATTAAGGCTGGATGAGTGTAACTACTCCAAGCTAGTCCAAGACCTCAACCGCATTGGGTCCAAGTTAATCAGACTAAACTAATCCCGGGAGTAGGATGTGAGCTAAGTAGGAGTCAAGTTACTCCTTGATAATCCTGGGATTAAGAGCCAAACTGTGCACTCATCATGCATGTGACCCCAGCTACTCCTGGTTTTACAGCACACCAATGCGGTTGATGACCTGGAGTTGCCCTAATCTGGGAGTAAGCTACACCACTACTCCACAAGTTACACCCGCACTGATGTGGTTGCTCTTATAGGATCAGCACCAATTTCCACACCCACAAAATCCATGGACTGGATTTGCCATGGGTCACTAGCTATATGGGTTATAAAGAGGGAGACAACTGTAGGTGGTCTATTGGGTGTTGGAATATGCTTATAGTTATAGCCTATTCAGTATACTTCTAACAAAACCGTGATTGTATGTATTCTAGGCTAGCTATGTCTCAGTAGACCTTCCTCACTGAATCTAAAACTATATTTCATCTTCATGATCAGTCACTGTCACAAGACTAAGCGTCTGTGACTTTCAGCTTCTCACCTGGTCCACCTCAACACTGGGTCCTGTGTGGAGAAGGACATGTTTAGGTGCTACAGACAACACATCCATAAAATCTCTCAAGTAAATGTTGTTTTTTGTTGTTGTTGTTGATACAATAACTGATTTGTTCACATTTATCTTGTAACCAAGGTCCAACCAAATCATGACATCTCTACACACGTCCGGCCTCCTGGAGTCAGAACCCCCCCCCCCCCCCGCTCCAGAGGAGGTAGCCTTTCTTTCTGTGTTGGAGACGGAAAAAGTCTGCCTGGCCCTGCTCAGTGGTGTTTCTCTTTTTCCGCTCTTGGGGCCAGCAGGAAACAAGATTGACCCCTCCACCGCCAAGGGAGGCAGACTTTTTCCGCTCTCAAATGCTGATGAAAAGTTTGAGCCCTCTGAGGAGGCAGAAAAAGTCTGCCTCCAAAGAGGAAAAAAAAAAGTCAACCTCATCTGGGGGTAGAGATGGGCAATTTGCATCCGGATATCCGCGCGGATGCGGATATCCGGCTGCTTTTTCCGGCCATCCAGGCATCCGCATCCGCACCGGCACCCGCTGGCGGGTATCCGTTGGCCGCAGCCGTTTAGAGGGCGGGTATCCTTTGGGATACCCGGATACCCGCCAACAATTTGCGGAAAAGGGGCCATCCGCACCCGAATCCGCACCCGTTGGCGGGTATCCGTTGGCCCTGGCGGATAGCGGGTATCCGCAACGGATACCCTTCGACCATCTCTATCTGGGGGGGTGGTTTTGTTCCGCTTTGAAGGGCCACCCCCCCCCCAATGGCCACATGGCTCTCACAGTAACCAAGGGGTTTCTGAGGTTTAATACTTCCAAAAAGAGGCCCCTGATAGTCAAGACAACACCGTTGGATGTGTCTGGCAATGGCCCTCACAACCTCCCCAAGGTCTCAACAGCCGTTTGAGCCTTGACCTGGTTAATTTTTTTTGGAGGTGCTCCTCCTCCTGCAGGAAGCGGCCTATCTCACATGCCCTGTTTGCTTTTTGAGCAGGGTAGATTTTTCGTCTCTGACATCAATGGAGTGGTGGGTGTGACCTCTTTGTTTCCCGGTCCCTCCAGTTGGAAAGTTCTGTCTTGGCAATGGAAACCCGTCAGGGACTTCCCCCCCCCCCCTTCACTTGCAGAGCAAGCCCGCGGAAAGTTTCCGGCTTGAGAGGCAGAAAGTCTATGATATTGAGTTGCTGTGGTGTACATTTAACTAAAAGAATATGTAGGCTCAGAGAGATCCATTACACCCACAAATGTGCCGTGCAATCTAATCCCACTGTTGACCTCCACCAATGCACATTTGCCATTATTTGTCAACAATCCACACAACACCCCCCAAAAGGGGCGAAAAGCTCATCCAGCAATCCCAAAACCCACCACCACTTCCCGAAAGCACAAGGTGACAACCGACCAAGTTGTAAGAGCATCTCCACCGCGGTCCGTATTTTTGGGTCCCTATCAATCAAAAATACGGACTCGGAAATGTGTTTAGGGACTCGGAACCCTGTTCTGCCACACCGGGCAGTCCTTAAATCACCGGTATCGGTGTAGTTTTGACAGGCTGTCACACTAGGTTGAGGTGTGATGTCGTGTGACATTCACATTGATGTGTACAGTCCTTGGTCCCTATCCAATCCCTGGATCCAGGGTCTGGAGAGGGACCGAGGATGAAATCCGTAAAATACGGACGCCAATGGGGACCGCGGTGGGTGGCGTTTTTTGGGCCGCGGTCCCTAAATGCGGAATAGGGACCCGATTTAGGGACCGTGGTGGAGATGCTCTAACTCCCCAAAATTCAGGGCAAAGCTTATGAATATGTGGATTGGATCAATCTACATATCCAAATCATATTTCCATCTGAACCAATCAGATAATCGATCTACCTACCTCAACACTTGTAACCCCACATTAACCTCCCCCCCCCTCACAAACACCCCACCAAAAAACCCCCCACTCTGATTCCCAAAACAACCCCCCCCCCATCCACAAAGAAAAACCTCACTATCTACTGACCAAAAAAAGACACATCTACAGTGCCCTAACCCTCTTTTGTGTAACACCGCGCCTGCAAAATTATTTTTGAACTTTGAGCTGTATGTTGGTTGGCTCAAATAGGGCTACATACCCTTACTATACATTTTTGGGCTCTACAGAAGCAGTAGAACCCAAATATATAACCACAATTCTGTAGGTGCAATAATAAAAAAGTTTGGAATTTATTTTTTCTAGGACTTGGAACAGCCACCCAGGGAGGTCATAGTATTGACTTCTGGGGGCTATTATGGACTTATGTATTATGTAGTATGCTTTTAGGGGTGGAATTTACATAATATTTTAAAAAAAAGGCAAAGAAAAACCAATACATAAGTTATCTGGCAATGATTTCTTAACAGATTTGGTGGCCCTTCTGACTCTCTGGGAACGAGGTGCTTTACTCACAACCATCGTTGGTGATTCAACTCCTCCTTGCATGAAAGTTGTAAAACATGAAATGGATTTCATCTAAATATGTATGTACTTTATCAAAAAAATCCAATTTGAAAGTCAAGAAAGTCAAAGAAATGGTTGGAAGAAGCCAAAATTGCCAAAAAAAGAAGGAAAAAGAGAAAAAAAATGGTAAAACACAAGAAAAAAAATTGAATAAAAAGCTTCAAACATTTGGGAACACCCCCAGGGGTGTAGTACAAAAGAGGGTTAGGGCACTGTATCAAGCGTGGATATCTACACTATATAACCACAGTTCATATATATGTGTTTTTTTTTGTGTTGGGATTCTTGTGTCTGTATCTTTCTTTTATTTCTCAACTTACACACCACTTACACAACTACTTAACTTACACAACACACACATACATATATACACAACAACCATAACCTACACAAAAAACCAAACAAAAAAACAAACAAAAATTAGATAATATTTCTAAGTACTTTTTCTTTTGTGTGTGTGTGTGTTTTTTTTTGTGAAAAAAGTCTGTTGACCAGACGTGATTTGATTGATTGACAAGTATGTATATGTGGAAAAGTGAAGAAGGTGTGAAGGTGTATATGGACAGGGCGAGATAGAGAGTGGAAAAGAAGGAGGGAAACCGATACAAGACAACACTCACAAAAAAAAGGGGTAATAAACAAAAAAAAAGTAATATTCAAAAAAAAAAGATAAAACAAAGCAAAGAGAGAGGTCAGAGAGAGAGAGGAAAAGAGAAGGAAGAAGAGCGGTGGTTTATTTGAAGGTATTTGAATGAGGAAGATGCGGATCATGGACGGGGTCGAAGTTAGTGACGATGGGGCCATGTTGATCGAGGGGAGAAGTCGAAGGAAGGTGTGGCTGCTGGTGGTGGAGGAGAGGGTTTTCAGGTTGGAGCTGATTAGGAAAGGGAAGATTAGGTGTGTTAGAGAGGTTGGGATGGTTGTCGGGTCTATAATCGAGACTATGGGGACGATTGACGATGACGGGCTGGTCGTCGGGGCTGAGATGGGAGGGCGTCTGACGGGCGGAGCCGAAGAAGGAGTTCTGCTGCTGCTGGTGGAGGATGGGCTGAGCGGTGGGGAAGCCGAAGCCAAAGTCCTGGTACTCGTCCCATTCCGCCTCCGTCAGACTGATCCATGTGTACACCAGCAGGCCCAGAGAGACCAGCTCGAACAGACTGCCCATGAAACTCCCATCCACCGTCGCGTGCGACGAATGACAGATCGGCTGGCTCAGGATCCATCGGAATAGCTCCGCTAATCCAATCGTCATCAGACTGCACAGTAGCAAAATCACCGGCTTCAGTTCCCCTAACACTTTCACTGAAACTAGGATCGTCAGGCCGGCATATATCGTCAGGGCTATCAAGGGCCATAAGATCACCATTCTATCCTCATTTGAAAAAATCATTCTTGGGTTCAGCTGGATTCTGGCTTCCTCCCTCGCAAGGAGAAAATGACTCACGTGAATGTCCATGGACTATAGAGATGATCGGCAGGTTGACTAGCAAAGTAATGAGTGATTCCGAACCCGGTATCCAAGAACTGCGCAAGAAGGTAAAAAAAAATCAATCAAAAGCGATATAAAGGAAAAACGAAAAAGAAGACAGACGATATAATTGGAGGCGACGAAGAGGATTGTGGAACAAGTAGCCAAGGGGACGAGCGAGAACAAGGATCCGTCTTCGACGACTTGCAGGCCCAAGAACCCGAGCCAGATGAGTCCGAAGAAGAAGACGACGAGCAACGAATGGTCGAGCCCCGTCAGCCAGACTATCGACTGACTGCCTTGTTCCAACACCTCCCCATTCGCAAAAATCTCGA